ATACTCTGTAAGTACTGTCCCGCAGAGGTGTCTTCCCACAAGGATATACTCTGTAAATACTCTCCCGCAGAGGTGTCTTCCCACATGGATATACTCTGTATATACTCTGTAAATACTGAGGTGTGTTCCCACATGGATGCTATAAGACATGACTCACTATACTTCATAAAAAGGGACTAAAACCTATGAAAACTGACTGATGTAATTGGAAAGTATTTGCTTATATTGTGAATAAAATACTTTCTTTGTTATGTGATGTATAGGATAAAATACCTGAAGCCCAGGCAGGTTATAGGGCAGTTTACAGCACTGTATATAATATACTCTCCCAAAAAAGAAACGCATATAAGAATTTCAACTGTAATTTTATGTTTATTTTGAAACATCTTGTAAGCTTTATGAGTCAATGAAATATAGCGAAATTGCACACTGGGAATGCAGACTTATCCGTCTTTGGCACCAACTCAAGGAAAGTCAGTTTGAGTGTCACATGGAGACGTGTGGTGGCGCTGAAGTCAATACCTCGTGTGACCACCGTGGGCATCCAGAACTGCACGGCATCGCATCGGCATCGAACGAATAAGTCTCAAAATCTCGTGTTGCCCAATCGCAGCCCACTCTACCTGTAGTGCCTGTGCGAGTTGCTGAAGTGTCTGGGGCTGAGGGTTACGGCGTCGTACCCGTCTGTCCAGGGCATCCCACAGATGTTCGATCGGGTTTAAGTCCGGTGATCTTGAGGGCCAGGGGAGCACATTGATGTTGTGGTTCTGGAGGAAGTCTCTAGTGTGACGTGCTGTGTGGGGCCTGGCATTGTCCTGTTGAAACAACTCCCTCTGGCGATCAATGATTGGAAGGAGGTGTGGGCGTAGGATTTCGTCACAGTACCGTTGAGCTGTCAGGTTGCCCTGGATCATCAGCCTCCTCAATCCGGGTATTTGTCGAGCGGTACTGGTCGCCGTAGCTGTTCGATGACGCAGGTGATGTACCCGGATGTAGCGATCCTGCGCCGCAGTGGTCTTCGAGGTCGCCCACTACGAGGGGCATCTGCTACCGAATTCTGCCGGCGATATCTGTCCCAGAGCCGTGAAATGGTGCTTTGGTGAACATTCATGCGTCGGGCAACTGCACGTTGAGACTGGCCAGCTTCAAGAAAACCAATGGTGATATGACGGTTGGCTTCACTTAGACGTGGCATTTTGCCTTCGTCAACAATATTCCAAATACAGTGAATAATCGACAGACAGCGATCAACTTTTTATACCCATCATTGAGACTATCTGATCCCCAACTTTCACGTGCATTGCATGTGAATTGTGTATTCTGTGACACTACGAGCCGAAATTGTAAATCATGCTGTTAAATACGGGTATTTTACGGATGGTGCGTTTTGTTGTGATGTTTCAAAACATAAACACCATTGGACTCATAAACAGAGCAAAACCTTTTGTAAAATGAATCACGTTTTAATTCATTGCTACATGAAATTGCTAGTTTCATGATGCGTTTCTTTTTTGGGAGAGTATATATTGGTTTTACAGTGTATGATCATGGTATAGATTCTACTCCCTATTTGTAGATTTCAGAAACATATTCGATTGTCTAGATAAAACAGTCCTGTGGTATTTTATGCTAAAATGGTTTACACACCAACTTCTTCAATAGTGTTGGATGTTAAAAGTTATATTTACTTTACTTGGTGTCAAACAGGGATTATTTTCCGTGTTAATCGTAGATTTAGAAAATATAGTGCAAGACTGGTGCAAGAAATATATTTTTATCAGTCAGTAATTGTTTGATATTGTTATACCTGTTTGGTTGTAACGAGCTGCAAGCAGTGATATCGTGCTCAGATTAACATTCAGGCGGCTGGCAACAGAAAATTGGTAATCCCAGCGTGCATTCTTTCAATGGCGACGTTCCGTGTCGCAGCGTCAAGACGTGGCGTAGTGATTTGACCTTGAAACTCATTCAAAACGAATGCCGATTTCCGAAAGTAATCTGGATTGTTATAGCCAGACACTGCATGCTCTTTGTTGCACAGTTTCAACTGGAAGGTGATTTCTGTTGCGTTGTGGCGATGCCTTGTTAAATCTTTTTAAATCTCATCAAAATCAACATTTTCAGGTAAAGTCAATTTTTACCTGTGCACGTGTAAAATCATGTTACCAACACCTTTGTTACATATTTGGACGATTGTTTGAACACAATTGGTATTGAATAGATTTTGAAAATACAAAACGCCTATGCGTTTCTTTTTTGGGATAGTGTATTAAAACCTCCTCTTTCAATATCTGTACTGACTAACATATGTGACACACAAGTAGAACCTATATTGTTCCATGTTTTAGAAATACATGTATAACCTTTTGTTGGGTGTTCTAAAGTAGAATGCAAAGAACAGTTAGCTTATATATATTGTGAAATATGTAATATGAATTGGTAATGTATTGGAGTGTAGTAGATATGGTATATTGTCGACTGTCACAGGAGATATACTTGGTGAACTTATGGGTAAAGCCCACAAATAGCAAGCAATATTATCTGCAGGTGAAATGTGTTGATTAGTTTTTATCGTTACACATGTTACAAACACACTGGACACATATGTGGATTTTAATGTGTTACGATTTCGCACGAGATTGCGGATAAAGTGGTATTTCCTAGCATGTTCGCTCAAACTCGATTAAATGATTGTCATTAAAAGGGGTTGCACGATAATGTTTGCAAACCATATATGTTATCAATGTATAAGGACTATGAATCTACACTCAAGGCCAAAAGAAAGTGGCCCATTTTAATTTTGATATATGAAATTTATTCAAAATTGTTGAAATTTATTTTCTTTTGTTTAACAATCGCCAAAACACACCAATAATGTTGTCATTAGGAAAAAATGACTTCGAGCTAAAAAATCGTGAAATTTGTGCAAATGGTGAAATACACGTTTTTGAAGGATAAAAGCGACACTACGTCAGCCAAACGAGGCATTTAACGACCGTTGGTATGACACAGACGTTGTGAAACAGGAAAACACTTTAGATATGCCTAGACTTACTTCAGAACAGCGTGAAAGAGTCATAGGAATGTTAAACATGGGAGCTTCTCATGCCCATGTCTCACGAACGTTTGGTTGTCACAGACATACTATCAATAGACTTATTAAACGTTTCCATGAGACTGGCAGGACTGTTGACCGACCAAGGTCAGGTAGACCAAAGGTCACTACCCCCCAGGAAGACCAATATCTACGAATTCTACATCTGAGGAATCGGTTCCTGACAGTTTCGGAATCGGCATCAACGGCACTCGGTCGAGTTGTCAGCAGACACACAGTTAGACGACGACTACAGCATGCCGGAATTCGAGCCCACAGACCATTCCGTGGAACAATGCTGACACGTCAACATCGCCTGAATAGGCTGATCTGGGCACGTCGTGTTCGACGATGGCAGCTTCGTGATTGGCGTAGGGTTCTATTCAGCGATGAGGGTAGGTTTTGTTTATACCATAACGACGGTAGAGCACGTGTATATCGCCGTCGTGGTGAACGTCATGCCCCGTCATGCGTTATGGAGGTTCAGGCTCATGGTGGCGGGAGTGTTATGGTTTGGGGAGGTATCTGTGGCGAAATGAAGACACAATTGGTCACAGTTCAAGGCAACCTGACAGCACAACAATACATTGACCAGGTTATTCGTCCAGTTGTGTTACCTTTCGTTAATCAACACCAAGGGACATTATTTCAACAAGACAATGCTCCTGCACACACAGCTAGGATTGTGACAGACTTTGTGGGAACCAATAACATCAACGTTTTGCCTTGGCCGTCTCGTTCCCCTGACCTCTCACCAATAGAGCATCTCTGGGACTTTCTGGGCAGGAAAATCAGAATGAGACTAAACCCTCCAGCAAACCTGAGACAACTGGAACAGGCCATTCATGAGGAATGGAGGAATATCCCAAATGCCTTCATCAGACGTCTCACAATGTCAATGAGACGTCGAGTACTTGCATGTATCAATGCAGAAGGAGGACACACACGATACTAAGTAATGCACACCTAAACGTTGACATTTGTGTTTTAATCTGGAGTTCACAGATATTGTTCAAGACAACTGAAAACATGTAACTTTGCCTTTTGATACCAGTGTCATTTAATTAAATGTCGCTTAAACATTACTTCATGTTTGATGTTGTAATAACCTCCGTATGTTTAGCAAGTGACCTTACTATCAACATAAATAGATATGAAATCAATTTTTTGTCTGTGTTGCTTTTTATTAAGATTTTTAGCACGGGCCACTTTCTTTTGGCCTTGAGTGTATGTAAACTGTCCACATTTATTTGTCTGAAATAATTATGCGAGCATAGACGTATTTTATGCTTATTAGGAATTTGTGTATTACCACGGATGGTAAATATTGGTAGGGGCTACAATATGAAACAGTGTGGCATATTGTAGTTGAGTACTTGTTTTAGCTTTTGCGAATGAATGAAAGTCGATACCCCCAAGGGCTTCCAAAGTTATGTTATACTGTGACCGTAATTTGGTAGAAGATGAATACCATGCCTTTTTTATATGAAAGAAATATACACTCATAAGACGTTTTCTTACCTTTGTTCAAAATGAGATTGACGTAGATGTAACAATCTATATATGTGATCTAAATACTCACTACATGTAAGAAGCACTTGCTAAAGGAAAAATGTATTTGTAATATTACCATGTCTGGTACAATAGCCTTTGTCCGTGCCCCCTACATTGCATGTCTATTGAATAAACCAATTGTCTAAATGTGCTCGCTTACAAAGTATAAAATGGACGAAAAGAAACTGTTGATACAACGCAGTTATGGTGTCTTTAAAGCATCGGTTATGTGAATTTCCTAACCATGAATCAATTGAACTGATTTTTGTTAGTGAAAGGCGAGTTTTAGGATGTAAAAATAGATCGACTTCACCGGTAGAGGTTTCGTAAATGCTGTTAACAGTTGTACGGAATGTATAATATCGACCAAAGCATGACTAATTCCGCCAGGTGGCGGTCTATTTCAACATGGCTGCACCTTTTTCAAACCCGTCTCAGTTGTTGCCATTAGGTAAAAACATTAAGAATACTTCACTCTGTTATGTTTCCAGACGACAGGTCCAGTTCACTTATAAATCGTGTATGCACTATAATGATATCATATTTTGTGACAACCGTTATGTTAGACAAATCACCACACACTTTCACCGGCGATCGCCACATGGTTATCTGAATTCGCGCTTGTGTACAGTCATTCTACCATAATAAGAGCATTACTGAAGTATATGTGAGGAAAACTCAAACTCAAACAATTCATGGGGATTGTGACTTTATTTCGCAAGTTTCAGGGGGAGTTCAGCAGCGGCGGTTAGTATTGGTGCATAGTAGCCGAGAGCTTCGATGCGGTCCAAGATAAGATGCAGGGTCATGGCTTGACTGTAAATCTGTATCCTTATAGGACCGTATCGCGGCTCTCGGCTAAGTGCAGGTTCTGAATCTCTGGTCTGCCTGGTGCTCATTTTCAATTTATATGGGTTTGTTTGTTACTATCACAGGAATTTACCTAGGGTCCCTGGGACTCCTAGGCTTCAGTAACATTGGAACTGTCAAGTCATAGCTGCACAGCGGTCACTGACAGGGGTGGAAATAACTTTAAAATTGCTAGTGTACTCCGATACAGTGGCACATGTAAAATCACTTGCCCTGATAATTTTCCTACTATACTGTCCGTTTTCTTGTTGATTTTTTAAATAAACAAAAATAATAATATTGGAAAGTCAACTGGACACCGGTACAGTGTGATATACAAATTTGCTTGCCCGACAGAAAAAGCCACTGGACTCGGGCGTCGGGCAATGGGTTATTTCGACCCCTGACTGAGTATGCGTGAATCTGATGTGTCCAGTGTCTCACTATTTTTTCTAATGTTGACTAAAAGCTGAGGTAGCTGTAAACTTGTTTGTGGTGAAAGTGAGATGCAGAGTAGAGCTCTCTATCCTTCCAGCATAACAGTTTACAGAAGTTGAGCTTTAAGTAAAATATTATTTTCAGAAGTGATGAGTAGAATGCCGGTGAAAAGCTTTGGAGCTTTCCATCTTGAGAGATGAATTATCAGGCCTTATACATACCTTAATATTCTATGCATGAGTTTGTTTACTGTCTAATTAGTTTTATTTATGAAAATTTGGATTATTTGTTAATCATTCATTAACTTTTGTATAAGTCATAGAATTTTCTGTCAAGTATCATGTAGATGGCTTCAAAGATGTCATGATTACACAATGCCATTTCAAGGATGTTGTTTCAAAGGATGGTATGATTAGGATGGGCTTGGGTGTGGTCGGAAATGACTGATTTCTGCACAAATGCCTGATGTTCAAAGGGGGTGGGACATTTCATGTTTGTGGTAGACAAAGCTTGATAGATCTTCTTTGTTGCTAGTAGCTGGTTTACCAATGGCTTGTTGAATGATTTTCCTATCTGGAACACATCTCTACTGGCTTGATTCTTAAGTAGTCTGCAGATATGATGGCTGGTTATGGCCCGGGAAAGCAAATCTGGACTAAACCTCCTCAATTTAGGTTTCGCTTTCGCGGGAACGGTCAAGCTACAGTTAACACTGAATTTTGCGTTCCCGGGACTCTCAATACACGAGAAAAACAATGAAGTGTGAGTCGTCGTCTGATACTGTAGTCATGGTAGAAATTTAATAAATAAATAACAATAAATGTTTGAGCCACAGACTGTTCACCTAAGTCAAATAGATGGATCATGTAGAGAATTTTGAGTTATAATGGTAACGTATGATTACTTGCTTATAAATTCTCGACTGATGTCGAGCATATTTTTCCATATTGTAAGAAAAATCAATGTTAACGAAACTATATGTTTTTTAGATATCGAGAATAGATGAACAGGCCTTTCAAGAAAAATCATTTTGTGTGTCTGTGCGACGATTTACCACAAGAAAAGATGTAAACAAACACAACGTAATGTAAATTACTCTGACTCTACCGACATAATCTAAACGTGGGTTTGGGGTTTTGGTTGGTGAACCACCGACATGCTAACATTGGCGAATTAACCCATATGTATGTTGGTTCTTCCATGACACTAAATATAACAAAACTTCAGTTGGATAAAATTTTGCAGCAATCTTAAATGCAAAGAATACGCACTACCGACATAGCAAAAATGCCTCCATAGAACCAGATGTTTGCTTCTGACGCTGCAAGATAACTTACTGCAGTCTTAATGAAGGTTGATACTTATTGTAAATTTAGTGTTATTTAGAATACCTGCACAGATACACCTAGGGTTCGCGCGCTAATCTGAAGTACGGTAATCTGATGTTTTCATAGCAATTCGCTTTCGCGGCACCTCTAGTACAACTTTGGTTTTCGCTCTACCGTGAATAGGGAATATTGAAATTTCGCTTTCCCGGGCCGACACCGTATTGCTGTATGGTATATTGATGATGAATGGTGCAGATTGCTGACTTGGTGGATTGTCTCTTGGGTAGAGGGTGGTCTTGATGCTTTTGTGGACAAGTTTGGCTGCATACTGACAAAGGTTCACAAAGACAAAGTGAAGATGAACTCGGCTTCAAGGACTTGGGTCAGGGGGCTGATGCTCTCAGCTCTTCTGGCTAGGGTGGCAGTTAGTCCTCTGTTGACTTATAAAGGATGGTGGGATGTGATGAAATTTGTCTGTGTGGGCTGATTTCCTGTAGATGCTTGTATGGAGCTTGTTTTTGTCCTTCTTGACTTGAACGTCGAGGAATGGTATGAACTTGGTTGTCATTTTATTCTTCCTTTGTGAATTATGAATTTAAATTCACTATGTACTTGCACATTTAGTATTGTAATTATCCTGAATTATGCATGTCGAAAATGTGAAAAGAATATTCAACAAGAGACAAGTCATACCACTTGAATCATTAGAAAATACGCCCAGAGAGCAGAAGGTCGCGGGTTCGATCCTTGGCCACGTCATACCAAAAGAATGTCAAAATATGGTACTTGTTGGTACCAGCCTGGCTCTCAGCATTAATGGGTACAACACAGGGTTTTTACGGAACGCGTGATTCCTGTGTATTGGATGCAGAAATTTGATGAAGTACCCCCAAACTAAAATCCTGTGCGTCCTGTGGGAAGAACTTTCTGAGTTTGTAATGATATCCCATATTAAAATATAAACATTCTGTTTACAATCATTGTTCTGAAGACCTTGAAAGTAGCACATATAAAAACATAATCATTATCAAATGGGAAGCGTCCATAATCATTGATTTCATGCAGATCTGAGATTGATGGACTCCTAATTTTGGAAATGGACTCACAAAAAATATGCCCTGAGTCCCCAGGACTCCCAGTTTCGAAGAGCTATGTAAAACCCTGCTACACGGACTGATCGGCCCGGAGTCTGTACAATGTGTCTGAGTGGGATATTCATGCTAAACTGCGGCATGGTATCTCGGTGAGCTAGCACTATAAATCCAGCTTAAGTCTGGCCTAGTACAAGCAGCCAGACATACACAAGCATGGACATTGTCATATGAGCGAAATATTCTTAAGTACCACGTTAAACCCTATTTCATCTCACATTAGAAAATATGAGACCTAGATGAATGACTGGAATATTAAGGCACATTATACCTGCCTGTCAATGACAGATAACGTGTATCTAGATAGGGGTGATATTTTTCTTGCTGAAGCCATATCAGTGCTTTTGCATCTTACAAGAGGACAATAAAGATACCATATACAGCACTGCTATAAGACGAGACAAGAACAGATGTATTAGTGTGACAGGTCATTCTCACATGGTTTACCTGGTAGGTAGTTAGATACTTCTAACTGTTGGCAACAATATATTGATCTAAGTATTCTGTTAATGTGATTATGTGCCTTTGTTTTACAGAGTTGGTTGACAAGTGTATTGGGTCCAGGATTCACATCATCATGAAGAATGACAAGGAGATTGTTGGAGTGTTGCTGGGCTTTGATGACTATGTCAGTATCCTTTGGCAGCAATCAAACCTCAATTGAACTTAAGGTTGAGTTTTATCTTGTTGACCTAAATGCAGTTTAAGATAAAATGTTCCGTGTGCAGTCTTGCAAGGGTACTCAGCTGGGGGCACTCACTATTGGGTTACTCACTACTGGGGCACTCACTACTGGGGCACTCACTATTGGGTTACTACTGGGGCACTCACTATTGGGTTACTCACTACTGGTTCACTACTGGGGCACTCACTACTGGTTCACTACGGGTGCGCTCCCCTCTGGTTTGTTATTGGGGCACCAGGCTCTCAATGTGATTGTAGTCACTACCAGTGTACTCACAGTTAAGGACTCATTGTCAGGATCACTGTGAGTGAGTGTGGTTCTATGAGTGAGGGTGGTTCTATGGGTGAGGGTGGTTCTATGAGTGAGGGTGGTTCTATGAGTGAGGGTGGTTCTATGAGTGGTTCTATGAGCGTGGTTCTATGAGTGGTTCTATGAGTGTGGTTCTATGATTCTATGAGTGTGGTTCTATGAGTGTGGTTCTATGAGTGAGCGTGGTTCTATGAGTGAGGGTGGTTCTATGAGTGAGGGTGGTTCTATGAGCGTGGTTCTATGAGTGGTTCTATGAGTGTGGTTCTATGATTCTATGAGTGTGGTTCTATGAGCGTGGTTCTATGAGTGAGCGTGGTTCTATGAGTGAGGGTGGTTCTATGAGTGAGGGTGGTTCTATGAGTGAGGGTCGTTCTTTGAGCGTGGTTCTATGAGTGAGGGTGGTTCTATGAGTGTGGTTCTATGAGTGTGGTTCTATGAGTGTGGTTCTATGAGTGTGGTTCTATGAGGGTGGTTCTACGAGTGTGGTTCTATGAGCATGGTTCTATGATTCTATGAGTGGTTCTATGAGCGTGGTTCTATGAGTGAGTGGTTCTATGAGGGTGGTTCTATGAGGGTGGTTCTATGGAGTGAGGGTGGTTCTATGAGTGAGGTGGTTTATGAGTGTGGTTCTATGAGTGTGGTTCTATGAGTGTGGTTCTATGGAGCTGGTTCTATGAGGTGAGGGTGGTTCTATGGGCTGGTTTTATGGCGTGGTTCTATGAGTGAGGGTGGTTCTATGAGCGTGGTTCTATGAGTGAGGGTGGTTCTATGAGTGAGTGGTTCTATGAGGGTGGTTCTATGAGTGAGGGTGGTTCTATGAGTGAGGGTGGTTCTATGAGTGAGGGTGGTTCTATAGGCATGGTTCTATGAGCGTGGTTCTATGAGGGGGGTTCTATGAGTGTGGTTCTATGAGTGTGGTTCTATGAGTGAGGGTGGTTCTATGAGCGTGGTTCTATGAGTGAGGGTGGTTCTATGAGCGTGGTTCTATGAGTGAGTGGTTCTATGAGGGTGGTTCTATGAGTGAGGGTGGTTTATGAGTGTGGTTCTATGAGTGTGGTTCTATGAGCGTGGTTCTATGAGCGTGGTTCTATGAGTGAGGGTGGTTCTATGAGGGTGGTTCTATGAGGGAGGGTGGTTCTATGGGCGTGGTTTTATGAGCGTGATTCTATGAGTGAGGGTGGTTCTATGAGTGAGGGTGGTTCTATGAGCGTGGTTCTATGAGTGAGGGTGGTTCTATGAGTGAGTGGTTCTATGAGGGTGGTTCTAGGAGTGAGGGTGGTTCTTTGAGTGAGGGTGGTTCTGTGAGCGTGGTTCTATGAGCGTGGTTCTATGAGAGAGTGGTTCTATGAGCGTGGTTCTATGAGTGTGGTTCTATGAGCGTTCTATAAGCATGGTTCTATGAGTGAGGGTGGTTCTATAGGCGTGGTTCTATGAGTGTGGTTCTATAAGTGTGGTGTTCCCCACCTGCTTATAGTTATTGCTGGAGTCCCATCGACAGACAGCATTTCTTTGTTTGTTAGGAGACATACTGAAAGCTTCAAGTATTTCTTAATGGCATGAAATGGTTTTCCTTTTCTGATTTAGATTGAACGAAATCATACACCTTAAAAATCAACTGTTTCACATCAGATGAAAAGCGCATCCTCTCTGACAACAAGGAATATACTATGTAGCATCTGTTGAGCATGTGTGCAGTGTTCAACCTACTGTTGTGCCCTCTCTGTTATAGATGTGTCAACTTGTGTGCATAATGACATCATACTCATAGTTTCTGAAACTTATGTTTCCAGAGATGGCCCATCATCGGTATAAAAATAATGAACAGTAGATATTGTTGGTGTTAATTAACTTATGACTGAAATAAAGTAAGCTGATTCAATTAATGTTTTAGAACAGAATGTTTTCTGCCTTCTCGTTGTTCATGTTAATGATGGTAATCTGTGTCGCTGTGAACACACCTGTAACAGTTTGTTATTGATGGTAATCTGTGTCGCTGTGAACACACCTGTAACAGTTTGTTATTGATGGTAATCTGTGTCGCTGTGAACACACCTGTAACAGTTTGTTATTGATGGTAATCTGTGTCACCTGTAACAGTTTGTTATTGATGGTAATCTGTAGCTGTGAACACACCTGTAACAGTTTGTTATTGATGGTAATCTGTGTAGCTGTGAACACACCTGTAACAGTTTGTTATTGATGGTAATCTGTGTCGCTGTGAACACACCTGTAACAGTTTGTTATTGATGGTAATCTGTGTCGCTGTGAACACACCTGTAACAGTTTGTTATTGATGGTAATCTGTGTAGCTGTGAACACACCTGTAACAGTTTGTTATTGATGGTAATCTGTGTCGCTGTGAACACACCTGTAACAGTTTGTTATTGATGGTAATCTGTGTCGCTGTGAACACACCTGTAACAGTTTGTTATTGATGGTAATCTGTGTAGCTGTGAACACACCTGTAACAGTTTGTTATTGATGGTAATCTGTGTAGCTGTGAACACACCTGTAACAGTTTGTTATTGATGGTAATCTGTGTCGCCAGTGAACACACCTGTAACAGTTTGTTATTGATGGTAATCTGTGTCGCTGTGAACACACCTGTAACAGTTTGTTATTGATGGTAATCTGTGTAGCTGTGAACACACCTGTAACAGTTTGTTATTGATGGTAATCTGTGTAGCTGTGAACACACCTGTAACAGTTTGTTATTGATGGTAATCTGTGTCGCTGTGAACACACCTGCAACAGTTTGTTATTGATTGTAATCTGTGTCGCTGTGAACACACCTGTAACAGTTTGTTATTGATGGTAATCTGTGTCGCTGTGAACACACCTGTAACAGTTTGTTATTGATGGTAATCTGTGTCGCTGTGAACACACCTGTAACAGTTTGTTATTGATGGTAATCTGTGTCGCTGTGAACACACCTGTAATTGTTTGTTATTGATGGTAATCTGTGTCGCTGTGAACACACCTGTAACAGTTTGTTATTGATGGTAATCTGTGTAGCTGTGAACACTCCTGTAACAGTTTGTTATTGATGAAGAATGAAGCTGTAATGGTCCAATAATGACATTAAACATCATCAAATACATGACATCCATATTCACTTACCCAAGCTGACTATACTTTTAAAGAATTACATGTAGAAGAAAGATCAAACACAGTATTTATTCGATATATGGGATCTGTTGTTGTTCACAGAACAACTACATAACTAAGCAGTGATAACGTTCAGTTAATTGTCTTGGTAGAATTGAATTTGTCTACAGAGCTCACTTTATATTATATTGGTATTAGCTTTCCTTAGTTCAGCTCAGACATGGTTCTCGAGGATGTCACAGAATTGTGAGTATGTTTCTCAACTGTTGAGGCAACCATGCATGTTGTTGTAATGCAGTTGGTGGAATAAGCACTAGTCTGCTAGCCTGTGGCTAGCAATAATCCATTTGGGCCAGTAAATCTCCAAACACTGGCTCGACTGACGAGTGAATTTTCATGGGGTCATTTTGCAAATACATCACTCTCTTGTTAAGTTATAATACACTTTTAAATCATGCCAGATTATGGCCTGATAAAAATGTTCATCATATTAGCAGCTGAATGATGAAACCCGTGTCATGCTGACAATATCTTGTTCTCATCTATTTTTGTAATCTTTTGCTTACTTTCTACGTTCAAATTTCAGGCTAGTGAATTATTTTGTGGGCTAGTAACTTTCAGGCTTAGTTAGCCCGACTGGTTAGCAAAATTTGGAAACATTTTCACACACTGTAATGAGGTAGTGCTGTAGCCTGTTGAGTTAACTATGCAAGTTGCAATAATGGTGTTTTGCTATGCAGGTATTATTTTAGACTGTGCCTTGAGGCCATAAACACTCTGAAATGTGAAATAGCACATTGAAAACAACATCAGGGGCCTACTGGCACATATACTACAAACAAAAAATATGTGAACACCCTAAAACTTGATAGTCATACATAAACTGAAACGTGGTGACGTCATTTATGCTCTAAGGTAAATGCAACTTTTTGTGTGCTTAATGGGCATTTTAAACGACATGTTGGAACATGCAGTGAAGCAACTGATTCAATATTTGTTGAGTTTGAGTGAAATGAAACATTGTTAAAAACAGCGAAAAACAAGGGTTTGATTCAAACGCCCAAACACAACAGCCTAGTGCATGCGCAGATCACAGCCTAACGATGACAGCAGCCTGCACGAAAAAGAGGAAGCATGCGCGAAAACGAAAGCATGCGCGAAGGAGGAAGCCTGCGCAAAGGTGGAAGCATTCGCGAAGGAGGAAGCATTCGCGAAGGAGGAAACATGCCCGAAGGATCGCACACTCTACGACATACTAGGACACCTTCACCGAAGGAGCATTCACGAAGGAACAGAACCAGACGTTCACCGGAGCATGAGTGAACGATTCACCAAGTCACTATACAGAGCTCCGTGGTCAGCAGCATCTATCTTTGCAGGGGAAATTGAGGACGTGGCCAAGGAAGTAACGAAAGCGTCAAGGGAGGTAATGATGATCGACTAGCTAGTGTTATCTGTCAGACCTCGCAACGCTACTCCGGCAAGTCGAAGTTTACAGGAATACAAAGAGCCAGGGAAAAGAAATACGGCAGCTCCAGAGGAGGCAAGGATTCTTTTCGTCGCTCAACCGGAGCTCCCAGAGGTAACCCTGGAAGAGGCAGGGCATCCAGAGGTGCCAGGAACTTTAGAGGCTGAAGGACGGGTTCGGAACGACTGGAGTCTTCCACCCCAGACGTTCCCATACAACCTTCAACAGTGGGTGGACGTCTACAACACTACTGGAAGAATTGGGGAATTCTTCAGGACGACTATGTATCCCAGATCCTACGCAGAGGATACAAGATACAACTACAAGCAGTACCGCCATTGACAAGCAACTCTCTGGCCCACAACTATGCTGCCGACCAGAGGGAGAATCTACTTGACGCTATCACAACTCTACTCGAGAAGGAGGCGATCGAAGAAATAAAACAGGAGTTTGTCACGCTCGGTTTTTACTCCGCAATCTTCTTAGTACCAAAGAAAAATTCCAGGGAAAAGTTCCGACTTATATACAACATGAGGAAATTCAACCAAGATTATCTACGCAGCCCCGCAAAGTTCAGAATCATACATCTGCCTCAACTGCGCCAACTCATACGTCCATTAGACTACCTCACCAGCATGGATCTACAGGATGCATATCTTCACATCCCGATACATCCGGACTCAAGGAAATATCTACGATTCCTCTTCGGCCCCCTGGTTGTTTACTCGAGTGACAAAGCCAATCATTGCTTTTCTACATCATCGAGGTCTACGCAGTTCGTTTACCTGGATGACGGGATTCAAGCTCATCAAGATCCCAGTCAACTCAGACTGCAACTAGACTTCACAGTCAGGCTACTCACACAACTAGGATGGCTAGTAAATCTCCTCAAATCGGAACTACAACCCACACAGGATCTGCAATTCCTAGGAATACGGTTCATCACATCGCAGAATCGCATAGTCGTCCCAGAGGAGCGTTGGGTCAAGATACAACAGATGATATCTCAAGCACTTCTCTCTCCGTTACCACTACGAAATTGGCAGAGCCTACTCGGTCTCCTCAAGTCAGCACAAGACATGACACGCTGAGGAAGACTACAACTGCGCCCAGTACAAGTGTTCGTGAACACTCATCTAGACAGTTCTGACTCCTTCGGGCTACCGGACGGACTGAAACCATATCTCCTATGGTGGACACGGGAAGTCGAATGTTTGCGGAGGAATCTACTTATCAGAGCCGGAGTACAACACTCATCTCTACGTAGATGCATCACTTCAAGGATGGGGAGCCCACCTCGACAACGAAGTGGCAGCAGGGAAATGGTTGAGTCAGGAGCAAAGTTTACACATCAACATGCTCGAGATGAAAGCAGTCATAAACGCCTTACTACACTGGTCCAGCATACTAAGGAACGCACAACTGATGATCCACATGGACAACTCCACAGTGGCGTTCTACATCAACAAGCAAGGATCAACAAGATCAAGGAATCTACTAGATCTCAGCTTTCATCTGTTCAGCATAATAGACAATTTGAACATCGACTTGAAAGCATGTCACATTCCCGGAGCCAAGAATGTGATTTTGGTCGCGCCCTACTGGCCAGCGAGGGTGTGGTTTCCCATCCTCATTCAAGAACTCGGAAATCCAACCCTACAACTTCCAGAGTGGCCGAACCTACTAATTCATCCGCACACCAAGCAAGTACACGGCAATCCAACAGTATTCCAACTACATGCATGGAACGTATTAAAACTTGCTTGAAGAAAAGAGGATACTCCGCCAGAGCAGCGAACGCAGTCACATTAGCACTACGTTACGTAGATCAACACTAGCACTACGTAGATCAACACTAGCACTACGTAGATCAACATTAGCACTACGTAGATCAACACTAGCACTACGTAGATCAACACTAGCACTACGTAGATCAACATTAGCACTACGTAGATCAACATTAGCACTAATTAGATCAACATTAGCACTCGTGAGATCAACATTAGCACTACACTAGCACTACATTAGATCAACACTAGCACTACGTAGATCAACATTAGCACTACGTAGATCAACACTAGCACTACGTAGATCAACACTAGCACTACGTAGATCAACATTAGCACTACGTAGATCAACCCGCAGCTTGTACGACGACAAGTTTTGAGAAATACGCTTTAAGGAAGGGCTTCACAGCAATGAAAGCAACACATCCACAAGTGGCGGAATATCTTTGTCATCTAAGACAAACAAGGCAGTTAAAAGGTTCAACACTCTCTACATACCTAGCGGCCTCAGTACAGTTATCACCATCAAGACAGGTGTGAAACTGACTAAAGTACCAGAGATACTAGCTCTACTACGCTCCTTTAAGTTGGAAGACCAACAAAAGAAATTCAAAGCACCTGCTTGGGATCTCATGCTTATGAACCACTAGGAAGGACATCCTATGAGTTTCTAACACATAAAACTCTGTTCCTGGTCGCCTTGGCAACAGCAGCTTGGATGTCAGAAATACATGCTCTGGACTTTGAACGAATACAATTTGATGTACATCGCAATATCATACATCTGGGATTGAGATGGGATTTCATAGCAAAGAACCAATTGCCCGGTCAGCCAGACAGGCAATTCCACATCCCAGCACTTTTGTCAGTCCTTGGACCACAGGATACTCAGGATCTTTCCTTATGTCCAGTCAGAGCATTACAAATCTACCTACAAAGGTCTAAGATGAGGAGATGAAAATTCAAGTGCCTTTTCATCCCTTTATCTACGGAGACACCTACAGAAATCTCACAATATCAATATGGATGAGAGCTGTCATATTGAGAGCCTATAAAGGAGCAGGTCTCGAGCCACCACGAGCCTCCAATCCTCATGAAGTAAGAGCACTGGCGTCGACACTTGCTCTACATGGAAATTGCTCAATCTCGACAATAATGGAAGGCTGCTATTGGAAGTCGGAGACGGTGTTTGCCAACTACTACCTCAGAGACATTGCTACAAAGGATGTCTCCGGTATCCGCCTCTTCTTGTAGCACAACAATTGACGGTTCCTCAAAGACGCTGAGATGAATCTCACCCTTTATCACATGACTTGTAAAAGCCGACACTCAGAAGAGTAGGAGCTTAGAGTCCGTGCGCACGTCTAAAGATAGGCTAGCATGAGTGACAGACCCTATACTCGTAAGGACTTACTCGTATATGAAGAAGGGTCACTTCTCCATTGATGCGGAAATCAATCATGGAGTCGTATAAATCCACTTTTACTGTCAGGAGAAGCGGTTCCAGAAAATCTGACAAGTTGTGGTCCCCCCAAACTGATCAGAGGAAGCTGGAAGGAAGGATCAGCATAGTACTATAAGAAGTTCCCTCAGGGGGGTATGCAGGACGTAAATCAGCATGGAATCCAGAGAGGCTTGACCCACCACCTGGTCCGTTGGATTCTACAAGCAATTAAGCATGAGTCAGGATAAGGAAAAATATGTAATGTTTTTATTAAATTGATATTTTATACTTATCCTGACTCATGAGGTAAGCCCTCCCAACCTCTCCTCATGGCACTCTGGATTCCCTGTAATCCAGGTGTCGGGCGCTTAATCAGGAGAGAGTGAGGGGCATGTCCGAACATGTGACATGGTTTTCCCGCCAAAAGAGTCACAAGGGAGATAACACTGGGTGAGTGATTTACGTCCGCTTTTTTTAAGGGAGCTTCAAAAGGGGATTCAAGTGTTCCACTATCATTCGCAAGAAGAAAGCGACAAGCAAGCAATTA